CAGATGATATGTATTTATATGTACAGGGGTTGGACAATGAAACAAACACCTGCTCGATAGTGTTTGAGGTTGTTCTCTGATGAGTCCACCTATATCAGGGAGAGTTACGGTGTGGAGAAGCCCCGAAGCAGCTCACCACCTGCACGGTTGCAGCATGGCGGTGGATCAGTGACAATTTTGGGCTGCAATATCATGGCATTTCCTAGGCCTATCACTTGTTCTAGATGGTCACATCACTGCCAAGGACTATTGAACCATTCTGGAGGACCATGTTCATCCAACGGTTCAAACATTGTACCCTGAAGGTCGTGTACCAGGATGATAATGCACCAAAACACACAGCAAGACTGGTGACAGTGTGATTTGATGAAAACATGGGCATATATTATCGGGGCATGGGGGGGGGGGGTGTGACCCCCCCCCAATAATCATGTCTCCCCCTAAATGGGTGGAGACCTCAACCCCCCCAAATGTGCCAAGCAAAGTTACGCTGCACAGTCACCAGATATGAATATTATTGAGGGGTGTTTTAGAGGAATGAGTCAGGAAACATTTTCCTCCACCAGCATCGCAAAGTGACCTGGCCACTGTTCTGTGAGAAGAATGGCTCAAAATCCCTCTGTCCACTGTGCAGGACTGTCATATGTCATTTCCAAGACGAACTGATGCTGTATTGGCTGCAAAAGGAGGCCCTACCCTATACTAATAAATTATTGTGGTCTAAAACTAGCTGCTTCCGTTTCATTGTCTAGCCCCTGTATGTAAATTCAGCCTTTCCCAATTATTTAATGGTGTATCGACAGCTAAATATTCCCTTTCTTTCACACTGTATATACACCAACATTAAGCATGGTGATCTTTTTACATAAGTGCTTTGGATCAGGACCAAAAGAAAAAAAACACAGAATATATTTCTTCTTTAATGGCCTCTTACAAAATCATCCATCTGAGATGTACATCAAATAAGCTTTTTTTGTAATGAAGAAAAATTAATCTTTACATTACCAGATTTCCGTTTTATTCTTGATATCATCTATCATGTAGTCACATGGGAGATGACCTGCAAATTTCTATTGGAGGAAAAATTGGTCCGTTTGCCCATACAAAAGTCAAAAGCGAAATTTATATGGCAATAAGACTGTAGATCGATCAATCAATCGACCCACTCACCCACCCATCAACCATCGATCCATCCATCATAGAATATCCAGTACAGGGTTATGGTGAGCCTGTCCCATGGAGCAGACGACACGAGGCAGGGGACACCCCGGATGGGAGGCCAGTCCATCAAGGGCACACTCATTGTACACATAACTGACATTGAAAAATAGAGCTTTGCCTCTGATTTCGGCTGATGTAAATCACTAGAGGCATCAAATTTCCAGAAAGCCAGCCTTATACAACCACTTTCAGAACATTTCAGCGCAGGTGCTGCTAACATTTTGGCATTTGCTATTCCTATATGACGTAAAGCATGATGACCGCCTGCCCTCCAGCCTCAAATGCTTCTGAATTCATATTTTGGCTTTTGTAGAAGAGCAGCACTGGTCAGGAGCTCAGAGACAACTTCATTTGGCCCCTTTGCAGCCCTGACCAACCTCCCAGGGCACCAAAATCTCAATTCAGGACTCAGACTGCATGTATCTATGTGGTACTCATGCTACTGCCGAAGGCTTACTGATCACTCAGCAAGCTGTGCTCTTGTCAAAACCAAAACATATAATCACATATATAACCAAACCCAAACAAGAAAAACACCACCTGCCAAATAAAATACAAAAAAATGACCAGGGAAAAATACTTTAGCGAGAGATGCTATCTATTTAGCAGTTTCCTCTCCTAAGGACATCTGAAGCACACACGAATATTATGTTCTCTCCCTTTGAATAATTTTAATTGCATTAACTGAGCATACAAATGCCACTTCCAGAAAAAAAGTTAAAGACTGATTGTCATCCATAAAACAACAACGGTGCTGTTGCTATTTTTAAAAAACATGGGGATAAAACAGCACCAAAAAATGAGAGAATCCTCTCAGATGACACAGCACCTCTAGAACCACATCTGACTGAAGCTCCAAGCAGACACTCAAACAGGAGCAGCATGACTACAGCGGCTGTTAGTCCCGAAAACCTCTCGAAGGTAAAAGCTCACTCTCAGACGAAAACAAAACAAAACAGTACTGATCCGACTTGGGATCGCAAATAAAATCAAACCAAAAATCAAGAGCTGTATAAAATGATAAATCAAAGAGAGATTAGTTAGCACCAAGACATCCTTCTGTTTAGTGCATCAAAATAGTGCAGTGCTCATGGTCAAAGGGAAATGGGGTGCAAGAGTTTTAGGAGGGATTTCTGCAAGGCCAGACCTCTGGCTTGGGGGGGAAGCTTTGACAGTACTGGAGGGCAGCAGAATATATATATGTATGTATATATATTGTTAAGCAGGTCAACGAATTATACAGCCTCTTTTTCTGCAGTAATGTGAGGTAAACATGTTGGGAAATTGGGGTGAAGGGTGAAGAGAATAGCAGTCAAGTGACTAATCCATTAATGGATGACTGTCATTGGAAGATGCCCTTAAATAAGTGGTGTGCACAGTATCAGCCTGAATGAGGTCACTGTTGAATTTTATAAAGCTTACATCAATAAAAACGGGTTGCCTTAATTCAATGATACCCCTGAGGAGGGTCCTGTGTAAATTTATGTATGTATGCATATTTCCCCAAAGGTTGTTCATGTTATGATGATTCCCAAGAAACACAGAACTCATCATCAGGCCAGTGACTAGATTAAAGGAGAATTTAACTTGTCAGATTTATGTATCCAAAGAAAACTATTACACACAGCTGCAACTGGCCCTTTAAATGTCCCAAATATTATATATCCTTATGTCTAGAGATTTCCGCCATCAACACACGTCAGATGTATCTGATTGTCTCCCATCGTTCCTTTACAGTAATTTTTACATTTAAGAAAAGGCCTTAACCTCATCCTGGTCCTAGATTTTAGTTTCCCATAAACCAATGGTGCTATGAAGACACAGCAGAGACTGTGCAGTTTGTGAAACAAATGCTTAGAATTCTATAAAACTGTAACAGCTGTGATCCTCGCAAAAATAAATCTGGTTTGGAGCAGATTCCTATCACCATAAAAATAAAGAGTAACAAACGTAAAGGTCCGTCCATCCCTTTAGCTCCATATCACCTTTACTATAACATCATCATGACTAAATAAGGCATATACTGTGTATGAGACCAATTCACAATTTGGCTAAGGCTTCAATTTCCTTTGATCACTGCCATGTAAAGAGCCTACCTCTGACTATAAGGAAGGGTGAAACAGGCCTTTTGGGGAGTTCAGTATTTCCACCATGAATACGTTTGTCAACCCCTGTGACGACCAGGATGTAATCATGTGCAACATGATGCAGGTTCCTAGCTACAAGAGTCTGCTACAAGGAGTCAATGCTCATCAACAGAAAACCCAAAGGACAATAAACAGAATCCAACACTTTCACCTTTCCACCACACGAGCCGTCGGACAGTAAAATCACACTCTGCTCACATGTAAATACTGATGGTACCAAGTCCATGTGTCGAGCAATGATACCACCCACAAAGTTACATTCCTTCTAAAGAAACTAACCTGCAATTCCAAGCAAATTATGTCTTTACAGCGTCTAGTGTGGATACCTGGTGGCTTTTCAGGGCTTAAGTATTCATAAGAGTGATTATATAAAATGTCCTTTGGTCTTTTCCTGTAAACATGTTCCTGTACCTCACATGTGATGTTTTTAATAAATCCTGAACCAAAAAGCTCCCTCTATTCCTATAGCACTTAAAGTGAAAGTTTTGAAACAAACAAAAAAAAAGAAATAAAAATGTGATGGTATGGTCACATGTTCAAGGAGAGCCTTAAATGGCTTTTTCATATCAAGCTGGCCAGTATATGTTGCATTCTTGCTTCCTTATGCTGCTTTGATTCCTTTAACTCACCCTAATACCGAACTCACTAATTTCCTTTCATTTTAATCTTACAGGCAAAATACTGAATTAAATTCAGCAATTCCAGTAAAATGCTTACTGGACCAGTATTTCCCTTCTCTGAAAGATTCTGCTTTACCTCCCCTGATAACCCACATCCTACAGCTCTGTACTGCTGAAAAAACAACCAAGACTAATGAATTTCTCCCCTCAGTCTAAAAGGTGTTTCAAGTCTCTTCCCATTGGGGCTGTGCGTTTCCTTGGAAACATTTGAGGTGAGGTAGGTGCTGCCAGTCTCCTTTTGATCAGCATCTGAAAGCAGACCTCTGAAAAGACAATTAGCGGAGTCTGCTTTGGATTAGAGGGTCTTTTAGACTCTCCAGCCCCCAACTAATTTGTGCAAAATGTCCACATATATGATGAGAAATTAAGGACGATGTGTGATAGTTCTGGAACAACACCTGGATATAAGATTGCTTTTACTTGTTACATGGTTAAGTGTATTAAAAGTGTCATGGGATTAAATGCTCTATACCCCCCTGCCACCTAGTTTTAGTCAAAAACACACCTGGTTACTCTGTAACCTCTTGCACCTGAAGCACAGACTGACTGCATTAACCTAGTGCTTCAGGTCCCACAAAGTTTGACAAGCATTTTCATGAACACTTCAATTCACACTGACCAATAGAGATGCCTCTGGGTTAAAAACTGAGTCACTCTTTCCCACCAAGTCACAATTTGTTCTTAATTGTGAGAAAGGACAGGGTGGGAAGAGTTTTGGGAGCTCAAATGCATGACGTTTAACTTAATTTCCCCTGCTGACTACACATGAGGGACACGGTTAAAAAGTATCACGGCTGCTTGTTTTCTTTAAAGCTTGTGCGTTTGACTGATATGGACGTGCCTAGTCGGACTGAGCTTCTCCCAGAGTTAGATGCTATTGCACTTGAGGAGAGAAATGGCAGACGTGAACGTAAAGTGGCGATTAGCTCCATAGAGTGAGGGAGTGGGGGGGGGGGGGGTGGGGGCTTCACTCAGAGAGGCAGCCATCAGGCCCCAGGGTGCGGCGCCGCCGGCCGCCGTTGTAGCCGTGTCTCAGGCCGCCGTTGGGCAGGGGGCCACGGGCTGCTGCGATGCCGCAGTGCTTCAACAGGTTCACACCCCCCAGTGGGGGGGCCGAACGCACTCTGGGGGGGAAAGGCTTCATGGTAGACAGGATGAGGGCAAGGCAGTTGGCCACGTCTTTGTTAGGGGCACAGGCCAGGGCAGGGGTGCGACCTGAGGGAGACGCAGACAGGGCTTAGGAGAAGGTCCGGCCAGCAGTAACCATACGCACAGACAGCCCCCCTCCCTAAGTGGCCTCAGACAGACTGAGTGATGTGCTGAACAGTCGCCTGCTTACCAGTGCATCACAAACAAAGCTGCATATAATGAGGCCATTTTTAAGTGTTTGCTTGGGTACCGATTCAAAAGTATCAGGTCACGCTTGACAAGCTGGAAATCAGTTCGGGTCAGGGGCTGAATTTGGAATAAACTTACAGTCATTCGTAAAGCTCTACAGTACAGTGAGGTCAGTGACATATAAGTAACTTAAATACTGGAACACTGTAACAATGCATTAATCAACAGAATGCAACAAACTGAATGATGAAAATAATAACAGTAATAATAATAATACTGAATTATACCAATCAGCGTCCTCTGCAATTAGGCTTGCAATAGTATTTTAGCCATGGATGTGATCATTAATGGATACATATATTACAGCAGTACAGCATGGTTTCAGTGGCGGGTCTGGTTAGAGATATGAATACAGGGGCGGGTTTAGTTGGGGGCGTGGTCAGAATGTGGGCAGCGCTCTCAGGCCTTGGGTGTGACTTACCCTCCTTGTCCTCTGCCAGCACGGCTGCCCCTCGGCTCAGCAGCACCTGCACCACGGTGGCCAGGCCGTTCCGCGCTGCCATGTGTAGGGGCCTGCGGGAAAAGACCGGCCACACGTCAGCGGGCACGGCGCTCTGTGGCGCCGGGACGCTGCGCCCTGTGGCGCCGGGACGCTGCGCCCTGTGGCGCCGGGACGCTGCGCCCTGTGGCGCCGGGACACGCTTAGAGACGGCCTTGAGGAAACAGCAGCAGACTCACATCTGCAGGGCGCTGTTAGCTGCATTGATGAGGGTCTGGTCTTCCAGGTCCGAGAGGATCAGCAGGGCGCACATCTCATGAGCCTGAGGACACCACGACACACACACACAGGTTTGTAATTATATTTTTATGGGGACTCTAATCCCAACATGACGACCTTAACCCCTACACCCAGCCCTAACCTGAACCATAAGTAATCCAACACTTTTGGAATTTTTAGTTTTTTGATTGCCTTCACAAATATTTGTGGGGACTTGAAAAATGGTCCCCACAGCGTCAAAATAGCAGTCTTATTACATTTTGGCAGACATTTGGTCCCCACAACGTAATATAAACCTAATCTACACACACACATACACACACACACACACAACCCAGCCGACTGACCCACAGTAAACACGTTACAGCGTTAACACACGTAACATTAAAATCCTGCATGCTCACCCTGCCGCAGGCCAGGTGCAGGGCTGTGTTGCCGTTTGCGTCCGCGAGGTTCAGGTCAGCCTTTGCCTGCCGCACTAGGATCTCTGCCAAGGTCAGGAAGAACTCATTAATACACACGGGTTAGAGAGGTGACAGAGAGGTCACAGATACCATATTAATATTATATTGATACCTGCAGCACAGATACAACCCACTCGTAGTTCTTTACAAAGAAACAGATTCCGTACTTTAAGTATTATGCAGTGCAAAATAATTAGTCAACCACTAATCGGAGGGCAGAAATGTTGGGCCTCCAACTCCACTGCTGTGCTGCTCCACACTGACCCACGGCCGCACTGTGTCCCCTGTCCGCCGCCACCATCAGGGCTGTGCGCCCCACACGGTCCACGGCGTTAACCTGGGCACCATGGCTCAGGAGCAGCTGCAGCCCCACCGAGCTCTCTGCAAAGGCGGAGGCGTGAAGCGGGGTCCTACAGGCACAGCACAGGGCAGCCCGTTAGCCCGACCACATGGAATAACACTATATCTTTAGGCACATATCTGAAAGTATAATGATATTATGATAAAAGCTAGCAGGAAACCTCAGACCATTTACACAGGACAGGTTCCTCTCCAACAAAGTTAATACATGCCTTTTAAACCTTTAATCACTGCCATAGAGGAATTGGCATACTTGCCTCCCCGCTGCATCCGGAACGTTCACAGCCCATGTGCCAACTGCCTCCACCAGCAGCCGTGCCGCCGCATCGTGGCCATTTAGCCTGGGAGACAGAGAGACAGGGTGAAGGGGAGGCAGGGTGCGGACGGCCTGCAGGTATGGTTATACTTACAGGGCACAGTGCAAGGGAGTAAAGGAGTTCCCCTCCTGGATGCTGACTGCGTTGCGTTCAAGTAAAACTTTCAGACAATCTTCATGTCCTGAGAAAATAAGATGCCAGACAGATGGAAGTCAAACACCCAGCAGGTCTCAGGTCAGTTTTGTTTAAAGGCAGACAGCAATTTTTGAGCAATATTTTTATAGCACTGTTTTACTGGTACGCATTTTCATTTACACGCATCCTTAGTGCAATGCCCTACTTGTGGAGCTACAAGAGCCAGTAAACATTTATTTTGTTGTTTAATGGAAGATTAATTCTTTTTCTCTTATATAGACAAAGGAAAATACTTTTGGTGCAAACTAAACAAAAAGGAGATCAGAAGTGGCAGGGAGCCTGGGGCCTGGGGGCAGACTCACCGTGGTACGCGGCCCAGTGTAAGGGCATGTAGCCCCCATAGTCCAGCAGGCAGTCCAGGGGGTCAGCGCGGGCAGCAGCCCCCAGCAGGCAGCTCAGGACTTCTGCATGGCCGCGGGAGGCAGCCATGTGCAGTGGGGGGCGGCCCCGGGCGTCCCGGCACAGGGTGTAGGCCTCGTGCTCCAGCAGGGCCGATACACAGTCACCGCGGCCCAAGGCCGCCTGGTCGAGAAGGAGAGGGAACCTCAACCACTTTGAAAGCCCTGGAGACAAGCCAAGGCCTGGTCATGCCTTAACAAGCCTGACTGGGTGAAAGGCAGACGGCGGTCGGTCACCCCCCGGTGCAGAGCTGTCCGGCCGGCCTTGTCCGCCATGTCCGGCAGGGCGCCCCTCTCCAGCAGGCGGCAGACGCAGTCGAGGTGGCCACCCAGCACGGCCAGCATCAGGGGCGTCCTGCCACGGGGAGAAGGGGGGGTACGTCACGGTTATCATGCCCGACAGCCCGGGGACTCGCCCAATGTCACAGGAGGCGTCGACTTACTGTCCCAGGGCGTCCGTGACGTCCACCATGTCTGGTTTCTCCCGGCTGCTGAGCAGCCGCATCAGGCACGTGGCGTGGCCGCCGGCCGCTGTGGGGAGAACGGGCATCAGCACAGGGGAGGTAAGGAGCCGGGGCTCAGGCGTGCGAAAACGGGCTCCGCACCTGCAGCGTGCAGGGGGGTCCACTTGCGGCGGCGATCCCTGACGAGGCAGGAGGCTCCGTGGGCTAGCAGCACCTCCACGCAGCGACAGTGCCCCCTCTGGGCGGCCAGGTAGAGCGCAGTGCGGCCGGCTGCATCGCGCCCGTCCAGGCTGACCAGCGTCTCCGCCAGCACATGCACCGCTTCACAGTGACCGTTATACGCCTAATTGGCAGGGGTTAGATAAGGGGTTAGAGATGATTTTAGCATTAAGGTTAGGGTAGGGTGACCAGATAATCCATGTCAGGGGACACTTTGAGCTAGGGCAGAATTTGTAAACTACCAAGTCAATTAAAAGTTCCTGGATTTCACTTAAGCACTGAGTTCATGCTGTGTGCTAATAGTGGTGGCTAATGGGCAGTGCTGGCTTGAAAGTTAGAGAAGCACAGATGTAATTGAAAGATTGCTGATTCGACTCCTCGACCAGCAAGGCACCACTGAGGTATCCTGAGCAAGGTACCGCCCCCAAGCGCTGCTCCCCGGGGGCTGAATTAGCTGCCCCCTGCTATGTCACGAAAGTCTCATATGGGTTAAATGCAGAGGACACATTTCGTTGTTACACACTGTGTGTTGTGGTGTGTTAACAATGACCGCTGATCACTAAATTCTAAAATTCTAATTCTAATTGTGACTGTCTTTCAAAGAGGGTCACATAAAACACAAAATTTACGTCACATGACGCAAGATGCACGCTTACCGCCAAGTGCAAAGGACTAACAGGAAAGCTGCTCTCCACATCTCCCAGAGAGTTGAAAGACATTTCCAACAGCTGGAGTAGAAATGAAAATGACAGCCGTAAATTCAGCGGCCAGGATCATCCCAATCCTTGGCATCATGCTGCTGCCAAACCAGACTGCAGTTTCCAGCACCCCGTGAAACTCACCAGTTCGATATTTTGCTTGTTGCCGAAGGCAGCTGCATAGTGAACAGGACTGTAACCGCTGCTATTTCGCAGTGTCGGGTCGGCACCGTTGTCCAGTAAATACTCCAAGCAGCTGACGTGTCACACGGCGGAACACGAATGTTAAAACAGGAGTGTGGCACATCAACACGACGTCCACCAATAGGGTGTTTGATGATCACCCCCCCACCCCTCCATACCCCTAACCACAGCTCAATGGACACTCATGAAGTGCAGCAGTGTAAATCTTGCTGTTTCTTTGCCAGTTTTAATAATTTTCTTTGCCAGTTTTTCAATAGCTAGCAGCAGCTAAATGCAGTTGAGATGCCCGTGACAGATTAAGTGCAGTTGAACCGGTAGCAGACACTCACAAAAAGGTCTCCTTCGCACAGTGCTCCTTCTCCCCAGAGTAATGTCTGTCCACTCTGCAAAGACAGCATCACCCCACAAACTGTCAGTCACAAGCAGGTAACAGACCCATAAATACACAGAAACGCTACTCATTTCTAGCTAGGAGGAATACTGGGGAACACTTTACTTAAGGGGGCACAAATAATGTCGCAGTGCACTCTTACTTAATGTGTCTGAAAAGGAAGTCATTTCAAAACCAAGCTCTGGCTCTAGAAAATGACAAATGAGTCCACAAGATCAGACGAAGCCTATTCATCAGCAACAAGACGGGCCAACATACCGGCGGAAGGTCTGAGATGCAGCGGAGTAGTGCAGAGGGGTGCAGCCTTTGCTGTCGGCCGCGTTGACCTCGGCACCAGCGGTCACCAGGGTCACTGTGCACTGGTAGTTTGCGTTGGCTGAGGCGTAGTGCAGTGGAGTTCTGTGTGAGGTATAAGGGAGAGTGAGCAGGACTGCTCTCTAATTCATGTCTCTATTACCGAGACTCTTTAAGCACATCTGTCAAATCCAGCCTTGATCTGGATTTGTACTTTCTGCACCAGAACTTTCCACCGTCTTTAATGAATTACTTTTCTGTCTGCCCTGGAAACCTTTACATTTCTGGGATCTATAATCTCCCAGGCCCTGAAATGGGAGACGTAAACATGGAGTGCATCATATAACAGGCCCAGCAGAGGATGTATTTCCTGCACCAGCTGAGGATGTTCACCCAGCCATAGCAGATACTGCACACCAATCTATGAGTCTCTGTTCGTCCATCACAGTCCGGGATGGATGAAGCACCAAAAAAAGACAAGAGCAGCCTGCAATGAATAATCAGGCCCATGGAAAAGATCATCAGTGTTAACCTGCCCCCCCAGGACCTGTATACATCCTGAACCAGGAAAAGGACAGGAAAGGTTATCACAGACCCCTCACACTTGATCCACCTCCTCTCTGAACTTCTCCCCTCCCCTCCAACAGGTGCTACAGATCAGTGTGCTAAACAAACAGGTGCAAGAACAGTTTCTTCCCACAATCCCTCACTCATACGAACAGCTGACCCAGTTGCCTCAGTGCAGTTGACCTGTTAACACCACCAACCTCTTAACACGTCACTTATGTAAATGACTCACTGTACTTAAGCCACATTTATTCCTGAATACCTTACACATGCACTCAGTTTTGATACACTTACCAACCACACATGCACGTTGTACATATCAACTGGACTGTATGTGACCATTGAATTGCCTAAACTGTCTCAAACTATGCATGAGTGACAGTGGAGACAAATTCCCTGTGTGTGAACATACTTGACCAAATAAACCTGCTTCTAAAACCATATGTAATCATTGGTACATGTTGGGGATTTTGAGGGCCACATCTTACATACCTTCCAAACTTGTCCTTCTTACTCATGTCAGCACCGCTGCTCAACAGCAAGTTAAGACATTCAACATTTCTGAAAGACACAAAACATTGTCTGAAAGACACAAAACACATTTCTGGAAAGCAGTGGTGGACCACAAAGAAGTGTTAATCCTCCTCATGCAGTCTGACTCCAAGTCATAGCCAGTGGACAGAGGACTGGTGTTCGGATTTCCTGTTGGACCAGACCCATTTGCCAAAGACTGAACACTGCTGACTCACCCTCCGGATGCAGCAGCGTGTAGACAGGTCCTCCCAAGATTGTCTGGGGTGTTTATGTCGAATCCGGCTGACAGCACCTGATCATTGCTCAGAGACGACACAATGCTGTACAACTGACCTGCAGGGTTACCAGAGAAGGAAAGACACACAGCATGACTCCACAAAAGCAAAAGCAATTCAGACACGGTTCAAAGTATACCCCAAACTGAGATCCGACTGAGGCAGCATTCACCCGCAATGAAATTTCTTGGGCATTCTATTTTCAAAACACAATTAAATTCGATAGTAATAGTACATTCTATTATGCAGGACTTGATAACATGAAGGGAACTTTTTGTATTTTATGGCTATTTCTGAAAAGCAGGTATCATGAAATTGCAGGTCCATGTTAAATCTAAGGATGTATATTATTGTGGCTCTTTTTGTAGTTAAACTGGCCAAGTAGAAAAGTTAATTGTGCAAAAATATCATAAGCACTAAGGCACTACTGTCTCCAGCCAATGAAGTGCCTGCAATTTTAACTAAACAGTTTTACTCTGATTACTAAAATGACTCATTTACTTCACTTCCTTTAAAAAGGGCAACAAACAATCATAGGAACAGTGAGGTGCGTTTGTCCTGCCTACATTTAGAACGGCATTAAAAATACTCCTTTAACCAAAAAAACACAAGTCAGGCTGCTCCATGTTTTACTGAACTGTCACCACCTTCACGAGGAGACAGTTTTTTTATGCATAGTACAGAATTAAAATTGGCAGTGTGTCCCCCCCAACTGCAATATCAATGTGCAACTAAAGCAGATTTAACATTAGAGCTTCTTAAAACGTTGAATAAATTTTTAGAAGATGACTAATGACCCTGTAAACCCCAGTAGCTGCAATGGCAGAATTACCAAGGAACTTTCTGTTAAATACCACCAACTCAGCCAATTTGGACAGAACAATAAATCAGAAAATGACTTATTCTTAACCATTAAAGACTGGCATTACACAAAGAAGCAACAACATAGTTAAATCTGTTAAGATAAGTCCTCATAGCACATGGAGTCTGAGGGAGGCTGATTCTGAGATCCTCACCTGAGGAAAGCAACTTGCGACAACAGTCTGAAAACCCGTAGAGGACGGCCAAGTGCAGGGGGAACATCCCACGGACCCCCTGTCTAAAAACACAGAGCTTTGTATCAAAGGCAGCTGCACACAAATGACTGACAGGTCTAAAGGTAGCCATTTTCAGGCGGATCAGGCCACTATCACACTCAAAGCCCATCCAAGTCACCCGTTTGGCTGGAAGGTCTCAGCCTTGCGCTTACCGGGCTGTATCGGCACCGTTGGTCATCAGGGTGCTAATCAACAGCTCATAGCCATACTTAGCAGCAATGTGAAGAGGGGTATTGCCAAACTTATCCACGCAGTCAATCTCCGCACCTATGAGAAACATGGGTGAATGAGTAGAATGATCAGGTCACAAGTAGACATAGACATGAAACTCTGAGTTCCTGTCTTCTCACCATTCTGTATGAGGATCTGGGAACGGGTAAAGCGTCCATGAATGGCTGCCATGTGCAGGGGGCTTTTCCCTTCTTTGTTCTACAGAAGAAAGAAAGAGTCAACGAACCGCTGCCAACCAAACAAACAGCTCATTTGATACAACTGAAGAGCCCTGATAAGGTCCTTAGATGCTCTCGAACATTGAACAATTTCTAGAGAAGGCAGTTACAAAGAGCAGATTCCTCTCCCGTGACAGTAAGGTGGTCATCTCCACGGACCTGCATGTTGACATCAGCTCCATTGTTGACCAGGAGCTCCAGGCACAAAGCCCCGTTGGTGGAAACAGCAGCCAGGTGGAGGGGGCTGCAGCCCCGGAGGTTCGGCTGATTCACGTTGGCCCCCCGGTTGACCAGCACGTTGGCTACTGCCTCCTGACCAGCATAGCAGGCCATGTGCAGCGCTGTGTTCCCAAAAGCGTTCGGCTCGTCAATCTGGACGGAGAGCAGAACAACGTGGGATGGGGGGTTTGGAAGGAGACGGCAACAGGTGGTACTTTAGAAAGGCACTCCACTGGGCACCCCCAGACAGCCCAAGTTTTTGCTCCCTACCAGGAGATGGGAGGGAGCAAAAATGTGGATTGTCTGGGGTCCCCTGAGGACCAGGTTGTGGATCAGTGATGATCACCAGGCAGAAATCAGCTCCAAAAAGGTGAAGAATCCAGTTCCAAAGAGAAGAACAAGCTCTTTGCAAAGTATGCAGAAGAATTGGACCAGAGTGCTATTCCATGGCTAAGAAACAACCAAAATTCAAATATGTAAGCAGCAGAATTTTTCACTTATTATTCAATTCAAAATAAAGCCCGTATCAGGCTCTTTTTGGCTACACATTATTTGATCTGAGCACAGGGAACTCTGGAATCACCTCAGCCCCGAGCTGGAGGAGGTACTTGAGCACATCAACCTGGCCGGCGGCAGCGGCAACATGGAGTGGGGTATAACCCTGTGCATCCCTGCAGGCCGCGTCGGCACCACGAACCACGAGGACCTTTACTACTTCCAAATGCCCTGAAAGAGCAAGGGGCAAAATGAAGGCAGACTTTACATTACGTACAGAAGTTACAGGCCTAAAATATCTTGACATTTCACATCCTGGAATACAGCATAGTGTCTGGCTGGTGTTTCCCAATCCAGTCCTCGAAGATTCACAGCCAGTCCATGTTTTTGCTCACTCCCAGCTCCTGGAGGAAGCAAGGATATGGACTGTCTGGCAGGGAACTTGGAGGGAGCAAAAACATGTACTGGCTGTGGGTGCCTGAGGACTGGGTTGGGAAACATGTTGTAGGCTAATAGTAGGGTGACCAGATAATCCATGTCAAGGAGGACACTTTCAGCTACTTCATATTTTACAAATTACTTTAAAACTGAAAGGCTCCTGTGCTCGGATAATTAATTGAAAAACTCAGTGCTAAAGTGACCCAGGTCCTTTTAATTGAAGTGGTAGAAATCCTGTCCTAGCTCAAAGTGTCCTCCCTGACATGGATTATCAGGTCACCCTATTAATAGGATTGCATCTGTGTACGTAGAATGTTTATTTTATTTTATTATTAATGTGTGTAAAGAAAGTTAAAGGGTCCAACAACGGGTATAATCAACAAGGGAAGAGGGAGGATATACTCCCTCATTATTTAATTAAACTGTAACATATTCCCCCACCCCAACATTATTACTAAGATTCCGGGTCCAACTCACCCATGTAAGCTGCCCAGTGAAGTGCCTGTCTGTCCTTCTTGTCAATGGCACTGAGATTAACCCCTCTGTTCAGCAGCAAATTCACCATCTGAAAGCAGAAGACAGACATGTGCGGATGATCCACACACACTAGATGCTGGCATCCAAGCATGGCAAGATCTCTGACCCCAGGTCCCTCACCTCCAGCTGGCCACTGTGGGCCGCATGGTGTAGGGCTGTCCTTCCCATCCTGTCAGCCAGGTTCAAGCTGCTCAAGTGGGGCAACAGGGCCTCCGCACAGCGCACGACGCGACCAGCTGCCGCCACGTGCAGGGCTGTCAGCCAGGACTTGTCCCGTGCGTTGACCTCTGCCCCTTGCCGCAGCAGCAAATCCACTGCCTTCTGGGACAGTTCACACATCACGACGCCACCTCATTATCTCACTGGGTTACTAAGCATGGCCAGATTAAATGGCTACAGCATATGTTTACTACTCCACAGCAGGAAGTGATCTGGTGTGATGAAGAAATTTTACACCTAGTCCAAAACTTCTGTTTTTATTCATCCTAAAACACCAATTTTTTTTTTGAGCTTCCAGGAAAAGTTAAAGGCGATGTGAGGATCTTGCATCACTGGTAGGTCACTGACGCTTGTAAGGAGACCAAATAAGACACACTGGCTGATGCAAGCCCCTGTCGCTTACCAGTTAAGTAACAATCAGAAGAACACTTATAGCTTACAGACATCATTAAAAATGTTCTCGTTAAGGTATAGAAGAAACACTGACACACACATTTCCTGCTCATTTCTTTTTTAGGCAGGTGTGCTTACTTCATTTCGTGATGCAGCAGCCCTATGCAGAGGAGTCAGCCATGCGTGGTCCTTAGCATTAACACAAGCACCTGAGAGAGAGGAAATCGGCATCTTAAAGAGAAAGACACACAGTTTAACCGTGAAGTACATCTATTCGGGTTTAGGAAGTGTAACGGACCTGAATTAATGAGGAGCTCCATTATATAAACATCACCGAGGCATGAGGCAGCGTGCAGAGGTGTACGACGTTCTTGGTCCTGGGGAGGATGCACAGGAGGGAATGAGAAAGAGAGAGAGAAAGAGAGAGAGAGAGAGAGAGAGAGGGAGAGAGCAGCTGATTTGAGCAATACATAAACACAAATCTAGCCTGCTGTAATGTCATTTTAGTACATGCTAGAGCAAATCAATCAGGCTTATCCAGACTGTGCATACAGAACAGACAATGATAACACAAACAACAGGGGGAATCCAGAATATTTTTAACCACTTTATTTTTAATTTGGTGAATGTCTGCCTCAGACACAGAGTGAGTCCTGGATATTCAGTCTCCCTCCAAGTCTGATCCAGCAGATAATATTAAAAAGTAATATTAAAGTTATTTAGCATAAGCAAGCGTCTCCTGGCAAGACTGACTGAGCTCACAACCCATTAACTGAAATCACAGCAAGTATGGGGACCTGGTAACAGTTTGAAGCATCTTCCAGGAATGTGAGCAAGCCCCCTACAAGACAACCAGGAACAACCAGGCAGCTACTCTGTTGGGCTCTCTGTCCCATGCAGTCCAGCATTCACACTCCAAGCTACCATCTGCACTAAAAGTGCAAACATATTGCCCAAGAGGAAAGAATGCACGGAGTCATGACAGTAATAGGCTTAACATAAATGCAAGTACAACCACAGGAAAACCCTCAGCCATGTTTAATGTCACTATTCCTTCCTGGGTGAATTTCAGAGCACCCTTCACCGCATGCTGCACCAACATCACAGGCTAATCGCACCCTTCAGCTATGTTATTAATTGCTGCGTCATTCTGTGAGCAATCATCAAGACTCCTGATGCAGGTGAGCAGCACAAACAGGTAGGCAAGGCCCAGGGGAAGAGAAGCGACTGACTTAGGGGACGAGAAGAACACAGAGACCCACTGAGGGCTATGCACACCATACAACTACCAGAATGAGTTCAAATAATTATCTTTTTTAAAAATAATGTAACAGTTTTAAAATATGACCACAAAAACTATCAACTGAATTCAACAAAAAACAAGATAACAAATGTATTGATGTATTGTTGAATTAAAAAGTAATTGACCAGTAACGCTTCACAAGAACAAGCAGAAAGCTCGGTAACAGATAAGGACCGTCCACTTTATGATTTGGGGGTTCCTCTGTGTACTCCAATTCTCTCCCACAGTCCAAAAATATCCAAGTTAGATGGAATGGTGTCTCGAAATTGGATCCAATCCAGGGTCCCCTGCCCACTCAGGACAGGCTCAATGTAATCCTGGGGTGCTTAAAGAATTATGGGAAATGGGTTGATAGGTTCCCAGTAGCCACAAAAAGGTGAAGTACTGAAATACTCCGGTAATCGCAGCCTTTGGAAACTGATGCTGCGCCTCATGTTTAGGGACCAGTTACCAAAGAGTCATTTCCTGGTCTGTTAAGAGATGAACATAGTTTAAAGAAACACCTTCCATGTACTGACCAGCACATTGACATCCTCCTTCTTGTGCAATAATGCTTTGACTTCATCTGCATTCCGGTTAAAGATGGCCTGAACCAGGGGGGTCTGCAAAAATGACATTATTCATAGTAGCCAATAGCCAATTAGCACCAAATTCAATTTTATCTATATATATATATATATATATATATATATAAATAACTGATCTAAAATACGTACTACAAAAAACATCAACACCAGCAATAACAAGCAAATATCTGCCAACATGTTTGCACAATTTAAAAAAATCAAATTTTACAAAACTATGAAGTTTTGTTGGAGTCCATTTCATTTTCCATTAGAATATTAGCTATGATCACAACTGTACCAGTACAATACCATTTATACTCTCCCTTGTATTCAGTCTAGCAATGGACAACCCAAATGTTTTGTGATTTCTAATGTCCTAGGCCCCGAACAACTAGTCATTTGTTGGTGTAAGGTTGCAAGCACTGCTCAAGAACTGAAACTGTTTTCGTATCACTGCATTAAAGAGATGTGAAATTTAAGTTTCTAACTGAAGCGAGTTTTAATGGTTAATTAATACATGTCATTAATGCCCGTGTCCTTTTAGTGTTTGTTAGGCAGATAAAGCGTTTTTCGAAAATGCAGTGCAGTAATGTACTACAATATAAGTGTTGGTAAATGCAATGTTAATTGAATCACGCATCACCGTAGTCGCACAGTACGACTTAAAAAGACGACTGCAGGGTTAACATTCAAGGACGTCAATAATAAATACTTGAAGCTGCAGAAATATTGAGTCATCGAGATAAAATGCATGTTCAAAATGTCAGGCAGCCTGCTGTACAGCCCATGCCTGGTACCCGAGAGACCGTGTGAATACCCGGCAATGCGGGGCTGCGACGTCCCTTCGTCTCTCAGTTTTAAAAAAGCAAATGTCGTTGTATGTGTCAAAACTTACAATCAGCCTTCTCCCTTAGCAGCTAACCACACAAGTTATGCGAACCATTTAAAAATATAATTAACATTAACTAACCACCAGTAAAGAAACAAGAATGGAGACAGGCTATGTATTGATGTTCACACTTACATACACACTGTTAAATACACACTTGACTGCATATTTATTTATACCATACGGACAAGAACAGTATTTAAATTAATAGATCAGTAAAGGTCTTTAAAATGCCAGTTTTCCAAGTCCGCGTATGCAAGGCAAAGCAAAATACATCTGCAACGATTTAAGGAGAAAACATACATGCTGAAAGCGGCCGGATAATTAATGTGGTTATTTTGCGGCAATGTTTTCCATTCCTACCTGGTCTGTTATACTGAGTATTCCCATCTCCCGTAGTCAGTCAGGGCGGAGCTCCTTCATCAGGCCGCGATTGAGAGGTATGCGTTGCTTGTTTTATCGTGGTATTTACAGAATGGCTACTCCGGCGGCCGTGCATGCACGCAGTTGTTTATTGCTCTGACAGATAGACGACGGGAAAGCTGTCCGTCCGCAGGGGTGGCGGCTGTGCGGCAGTTCCTTCACGGACTGAGCAGCGCCGCTCCGCGGTACCCCGGCGTAGGCGCCACTCCCTAGTGGCTGTCGTACAAATTGCAACCCACGCTGTAGGCGAAAGGCTGCCTGGTTCCAGAAAGCTGCAGTACGTCTGGATTTTACACGTTTTTTCAAAATATTCACCTTATTTGGCTCTTGGGCAATTAAAAGTTTTTTAATTAAACCTTGCCTCCTAAAATCCCACAACCCATCGGCATTGCTGGGTCCCTCCCGCGACCCCTACCCTGCCTTACACAAAGCTGATTAAACTGTGTTCAATTTTAAGATTCGCAAAATGCAGGCTTTTTCTGCCTCTGCATTGCATAATTATAGACTGGATTATACTGAAATTTCTAACGCTAGATGCAGTGTAGAAATATTCATTTAAATTTTAATTGTAAGTTCCTTACAAAACCTTATTGATATCAGGAACAATTATACAGCAGATCATGCTTGTGTAGACATACGCCATTTTTATGTATAACAATTGTGCACTGAATAAAAAACCTCTGTGTAATGTAAAAAGAAAATGCTGATGTACTTATTGCAAGTGACTTGAATGAAACTTAACAGTTACGGAATTGCAGAATCAAGGCCTGATTCGGTCTGTGTGGAGTTGTGTCCTGAAATAATGATTTACATAAAGTCTTCTGGCAAGAGCTGTATATATTTCTGCTCTGGCAAAAGGATAAGTCTCAACAGTCTGAGTGAGAAACAGAAGCAACGAAGACTAATTTTGACATTTAGGCTACATTTAAAATTTAAGGGTAGCATGGTGACACTCCTAGCCCTGTTGCCTTTCACCTTCAAGATTGAGGATTGAATTCTGCCCCTGTTGTGTACATGGAATTTGAATGTTTATTCTATGTTGCATGGATTTCCACCTACAATCCAAAGACATAAAGTTAGGTGGTGGATGGATGGCTGAACATAGCAGAAACTTATAGGGTGCAATTGTGGTAAATCGTTTGCTTTATATAAAATGTCAAAATCCTGTCAAAATAATATTAATAATAACTTATATTTCACCCTGAACATCATACCTCTTATTCTTACTGTTGAAAGTACCAGACAGTATAAATCCCCTTGGATTTAATTACGCATATTTTTCACATAGGCCTATCATTTAATTTGAATGATTTCCAAACATTTTATATATCACTTTTAATGATTGCTTACGAATGATTTTCTTTTGTATTGTCAGTAATTACAAGATTTTGAACATCTCGTCTGATTATGGAACAATAATACACAAATATAATGCTTCAGGTGTGCAAAGGTTTATTTTGTGTCTTTTGAGATTTGATATCTATTTTAAGAGCCGCTAAGCACTTTGTAACCTTAACACCCTCTCGCGGAGGAGCGGCGTTTGCAGTGACGCATACTTCCGCTTTGCCAATCGCTGTTCGGACGTATCTTGGAAACGGCGTGACGTTTCGTGTGATGACAAGCGAAGGGGAAAGGCGATCAGCAGACACCGGTATGCGGCGCAAGGTCGGTAAAAAGGGGAGTTGAACCGAAGCTGGAGAAAACTCTTTTCAACTGAGCCAAATACAAGGTAACTGTATGAAAAGGCCGGACTGGAGCACATTTTTTTGTTAGCTAGCTAACCAGCTAACATTTACTTAGTTAAACTATGTGACTCGATAACCTTGTTTGGCTGAAGAGAAGGCGGGCATTTATGATTCAGCTGTTGGACTGATTACCGGCTTGATCGAAATCTCCTCCAATTTATCCATATGATATTTTTGTGAAACGAGCTTTTTTCATGTGGACTCGGCGAACAGGATTTAAACTTAGTAATTTGACGTTTGGATCTTAGGTTGCACATTTATGGTAGTATTGTGCAAACTATCAAGCTAATTTTTGACATTTTATTTGCCGGGTGGTGGAAGATATTGGACAATGGCCGTTTCGGCGAGCCGCCGGTTACCAGCGGTAGTGAGGACATTTGGCGAGGTCGCTGCCATGGGCTCGAGCCGACCCAGCGCGGTGTTGCCCAGACCTCGACATCCAATCAGGTGAGGCGGAAACCCTGACGTGAGAGGTCACGACGGGTAGTGGACCAATAGCGTGGAAACATGATTCACTGCTGTTATTCCGAGTTCAACGAAATTGTGAATAAAATTTCCAAATGAACTGCATTTAAACAATGATGTGATCAGGAATTTTGTCAAGCTTTCTGTATACGGTCATATATGTAAATTTATTGAAGTATCTAAGGTATGTATGTGTGACTTGAATCTGTCTGATTTTTCTGTACGTGAAATTACTCCTGACAGCTGTAAATGATTTTCAGAACATTTTTTTAAAAATGTGGGAAAAAAAATCAGCATATAGGTATAATATGAGAATTTGTATTAAACACTTGGGATAGAGGGGTGATGCTGCATGACTGACAACAATTTCCTTTTACATTAGATACCTGTCATCTTGCGGCATTTTAATGACAAGGACCCACAGATTGCTTTGCTGCTCAGATCTGGAAGCGACACCTTCTCCACACTGCAGGACTTTCCTCAGTCTACCAAATAAGAGAAAGGAATACTCAGAGCGTAGAATACTAGGGTAAGTGTGTGATCCTGGGCACAGTCTTCTAATCTGCCTTGCTCTGTTATATCAATGACAGCAGCATTAATTCCATGATAAATTTTACTTGAAGTAGAAACTATGACATAAAGCTCTTATTTGTTTCTGCTTATGTTTGCATTTCAAGTTGCCAGTGGGGAAAAAGCCTCCACATCAAAGTACAGTATAGCGCAACAGCTTCCGTTCACTCTTGATGCATTCAGGTACTCGATGCAGGAGATGTACGATGTGGTGTCCAACGTGGACGACTACAAACTGTTTGTGCCATGGTGCAAGAAGTCCCAGACCATCATGAAGAGGACTGGGCATGCTAAGGCCCAGCTGGAGGTTGGCTTTCCTCCAGTTGTGGAAAGATACACATCCATGATCACCAACGTGCGACCTCACCTAGTCAAGGTAACAGCACTGCTTTCTTAAAGAACGTAATGTTTCCTGGATTTTATTTTTTCCAGATGAAAAAAAACTGCACATTGACTGAGCCAAAATGTGTTCCACCTGTGATGTGTGGGTTCTCTTTAGGCTGTTTGTACAGATGGGAAACTCTTCAACCATCTAGAAACGATATGGCGCTTCAGCCCTGGTATCCCTGGTTACCCCCGGACCTGCACAGTGGATTTTTCTGTGAGTAACTGTCTTTGACCTCCTCCACCATACTGCAAGGACTACCTGTCCGCCACCATTATTCTCCAGTCATGTTCCTGCCACTCATGCTCCTGTTTTTATCTGCTTCTCCCAGATCTCCTTCGAGTTTCGCTCCTTGCTGCACTCCCAGCTGGCCACAGTCTTCTTCGACGAAGTGGTGAAGCAGATGGTGGCGGCATTTGGGCGCCGCGCCTACAAGCTGTACGGCCCAGAGACCCGCATCCCACGGGAGCTTATGTTCCATGAGGTGCACCAGACGTGAGCCTGACTGTGGCTCCTGTATGTGCGTGTGTGTGCGCGTGTGTCCTTCTGCTCCTCTGGATTATCTCATCACAGTGAACGACATGCACATTATCCTGGAACGTTATATGGGACTGATAAAACACAGGCTCACCCGCTGGGCGTTTACCACCATTCCCTTTACACAGTTTCTATTCAGTTGGTGTCTCCATGGCAGCATTCTAAGGAACTCTTTTTTTTTTTTTTTTATTGCATTGGCTGCCAATAGAATCCATCCATGCCTTGTTTAGAGCAACCTCTGCTTCTTAAGTTTGTCCTGCGAGGTCCATTCATTTAGATGGATATATGTGTTGGTTTTGAGTTCGGCCCTCTGTTTTGCCAATGAATTTTGATTTCACCAGTCCTGTCCAGTCCGTCACCTCCATCGTACGTGGCAGCTTTTTAAAAAAAAAATTTAAAAAAAATTGTGATTTTATTTTTTCCATCCACATATTTCACCTGTATTTATTGGAATAGAAAGGAACAAACAATCCTGACTACTGTTTTTATTTATTTGTCTAGTGTTTGACTTAGGAAGTTGAGAGGGACTCTTGAATTCTAAGCTTGGTTTGGAGACCAGCCCCGAAGTTGCTCATATTATGTCCAGATGTCCCTAAATACAAGCACCTACTGAAAGAAATAGGAAATAAAAATTTTAGTACAGTAACCAACCCACCCTATTTATAGGCCTTTAGTTCCACTTGGCATGCAGCTAAGAAATTCCATGGTTAACTAGTGTCCTATAAAGCCCTTCAGCAAGGTTTCAACAGGAAGTTCTCCAGTGTTTGCTGTAATTTATGTGAGTGGGTGAAAACCCCAGCTGTAGGTCACCCTGGACATGAAATGATGGAGGTGAATTGGGATGCATTATTTCCCCCTCCCTTTACTCTAGCCAGTTTGAAGGCACATGATTTTTTAAATTCAGCAGTGAGTTTCAGTTTTGTCAGCCTATGGATAGACCTTCTTGCTTTCATAGTACTGTGGCACACTAGACACAGAGCAGGCACTTCCTGAGTAAAGCACTAAAACATTAAAGCCTCATGCAACAGTTAACAAAACAGGGGGAGAGTCCATCTTTTCATTTCACCAGTTTACATCCTGTTAGATGTATCAAACCAACTTTGTTTTGGAATTCAGCCTAGGGTCTTGGAAAATTCCCTACTATAGGAAAGGGATTAGGCTGCAGAGCAACAGCCAGTAGGGGTGATAACCAGTAAGGGAATGTAGAAATCAGGGCAATTTAATCATCACAATCGTTATATGAAAGATGTGCTTGTGTGAATGGGGAATCTTTCTTAACTCATCCAATATCCTGGAAATGTACTGTTATAAAGGAAGAGACTCTATATATGTGTATTATATATGCAACAATGTCCATATAGGGTTATTAGTTACTGGTACACAATATTAAAAATACCAAGGAACATATGTTTTTAATATAGAAACAATGTAAAGTAATTTGAAATACATTTTAATATTGTAATGGAATAACCCTGAATATTACCACACTGTTATAAAGCTGCAATTATAAATTTAAATTGTAATTCCATATACAGTACAATGCAAAAATCTTAAGCGACTATAGAGGATGCCTAAGACAATTTCTCAGGGTGTTTATATTTGCTAAGAAAAAAACACTATTACTTACATCTTTTGCAAATTAACAGTTACAGGGCAAAAAGTATTCAAGAATTTCTTCTGTTCTCCAAATATTTACTTGTATCTTGTTGGATGGCTAGATGAACATCACTTTGTTTCTCAAATCTCTCTTCAGAGGCACCTCAGCCATTCTGTATATATTCGTTAGATGTAATCACCAGTTCAAATAATTAACTTAATTAGTTAAATGCTCAGTGAAGTATTAATCGGCCAAACAAGGTGTTATAATGGTTTAGTCAAAAAAAAAATATATACATATGTATGTATGTATGTATGTATGTATATGTGTATTATTGGATTTATTGAGCAAGGAGAAGCACAAAAGACAATGTTACATGTGAAAACAATGCAACCGTTGTTTTGTACGGAGGTTTTCTAGCCAAAGGCTAATTTGCAAACCTAGGACTTTTAAGAACAGACAATAACAGCAATTATCGAGTCACACACACGCACACACACTCATACTCACACACACACACACACACACACACACACACACACACACTTGGATGGTTGCAGCAAATAATGGGGTGACTTTAGGAGCGGTTTAGAAATGGTTAACACACTTTGACAAACATCAGTTTTACACTGATGATCATTTATGCCTAACTGTTTTGCACAATTCTGTATTTAATAAATTTATTTTATAAAAATTGGCAAGGTCGAGTAAACAGATATGATTACTTGGTGTGCTATGTTTGTTTATTCACACTAGGAATTTACAGCTTCTTTTTAACAGGGAATAAACTATGACCATAAGGAGACAGCATTTGGTAATGAGGGCCACACTGCAGCCCATAAGGAGACAGCATTTGGTAATGAGGGCCACACTGCAGCNCCATAAGGAGACAGCATTTGGTAATGAGGGCCACACTGCAGCCCATAAGGAGACAGCATTTGGTAATGAGGGCCACACTGCAGCTGCAATGATTGCCTCGCAATGAAGGACAATGAGACCAGAACTGTGGTGTTCTAGATTTTTTCTGTCATAGATTGTCACTTAGAATGGAACATTAGTGGCACAGCTGTTTCATCCAACAGTTTCTCTCCTGATTTTTATTTTTAATTTTGGTTATGGTGCTATATTTATGGAGTAGACTTCCTATTGTATTCAGTTTAAGGAAAATATTTTTGATTGTAGTCTCAGAGTTTTAAAGTCAAATGTGGGACAAACAAAATGTGCTGCTATATTCTGTAAATGTTACACAATGGTGTGCAGAACTGGTACGGATATTGCAGATTAATTTGTATCCCAGTGTAAAAGACCTGCGATGATTCTGGTTTATTTTGGTAAATAAAAATCACATAAAAATGACCGATCAAAAGGAAACCTACTGTCAGATGCCGTCTTGCGTGTCACCAACACACATCATAATCTTACTGTACTATTGAGGCAATATGTCAGAGATTGACATCCAGCATTTGCTAATACAGTCTTTAGATCAGATCCTGATGAGCACTTTGTACCAGATATACTGATGTACAATTTGGATTAACAGCCAGTTAATAGTCAACATGTCTTACTGTCATCATAATGGCATCTCTTCACTTTCCCCCAGTTGTTCTAGTTAAAACAACAAAGATATAGATGAATGCATATCAGATTTACAATTCTAACCAATATTTTTGAAAATTGTAATGTTTCATATACTCTGGCAATAGAGATAAACTAAATGATTAAATATTTTTTCTCTTTGTAAAGTATACATAAGGGTTAAAATATGAGCATCCCATAGATTTCTGGTTTTATAATCAAGCACAAATCCATGCAATAACTAGGAGAATTTTACTGACAAAATTAGATCATTACTGCAACTGTGGAACAAAGATAACTGTCAGCTGTGAATAAGTGTCAATCACAAAGGTGGCACTTTGTAGGGGTCATTACACTCTGACTGTTATGAAGAGGGCAGTGCTCAGCAAGTTTAGAAACAAGTGTCCACTCTCCACCTAATAGCCAATAATACTCAAGGATATTTTTACATTTGTCTTGACACCTCTGCAACCACTAACAGCTTGTGTACAGCAACCATTCTGAGAGAACATCTACGAAACCTAATCCATTTGTTACAAAGATCCTTCTAAATATCTTATAATGAACCATGGCATCGAGGGTAGACACACAGTAAGGTTTACCAGTTCTGGTGCTACAGAGCGAGAAATCAACAGAAGGTTTCCCTGCTCAAATACAATTGGCTAATTATCAAGTTTAGTAATTATCAGGTTTAGTGTCTGAGCAGGGAAATCTGAAAATGGTGTTGCAAACTGGCTCTCCAGAACTGGAATTGGGGAACCATGTCTTATATCACTGAATTTTTTTTTAGATTGCAGATATCGGTCTAAAAATCAGGTGCATGATGGGTCTCCATAGTCATTGCCAGGTTGTTACACTGGTGAGTTTTTCGTGCCCATCGCATCTGCAAAAACAACACTCCTCCTTTATTTGCCAAACTACATTGTTTTTTTTGAATCAGTGCAATTTGACAGGGTTTCAGAGATAACCAGAACATTTACACTGTTCACTTGGGAAGCTTGAAGAGTCACAAATAGGATGTAGCCTTTTAAAGGGCAAAACCAGCAGCAGAAATCTGAGTACAGCAGGGGCATGTGGAACAGCTATTAATAAGAGCTCAGGGATAGAAGGAACCCCGAAATAGACAAGATGAACATTCAACAGCACTCGCTCACTCACACACGACGAGCACTATAACCAGTTCAAAAGGACAGACTGAAAATAAGTGTATAGGACGTCCCATTTCTGTTTTCACTTCCTTTTGCTACAGACCTTGGTATCTAAACACCTCTCTGTGACAAAATGGCAAATGGAGTTCAGGTCGGGCACAATGAGTAACTGTTCTTTGTATATGAGTTCACAGAAGACGTGGATACAAAGTTCCTCTTGCAGCAGAGATGTAAATTGTGGCCATAATTACACTGAGGAACCAGCTTGAGTTAAGATGGTAGTCAAGTTTTAGGCTGTGAATTGAAGAAGAAAAGAAAAAAAAACACACAAAAGGCAAATGATAATAAAAAAACATTTATTTGTATTTCCAGGTTTTTTTTTTCCATTTCCACCCCAATTCCATGTCCAACACTCTTCCTCTGTTTTTTTTTGTAACATCAAAGTTAGTCAAGCTAGACTTTCAGTCCTACTCTTTACCAAACTACTTCCATTACGTTCCAATACAGAATACCCTGCAGGTTTGTTCTTTTCACAGGGTAGAACATAGACAGACAGTGGACAACATAAGACACACAGCAACATAAAATAATCCACAGAATAGTAGCACCCAATGCACCTTAGCCTGTTGTGGCAACATCAGGCAGACCTTCAATGAGATCATAGTAAAGCTTAGTCTATGCAAGAAAGAATGGAGTGTATTAGGTGCTTCTTCTGAAACCAAAAGGACCTTTAAGCTGAGAGTGGTGAGACCGGGGAGAGACAGCCGCACTGCCAGGGAGTGTTATGTACATTAAAGCTGAACATGCTGTCATCTCCCAGTCACTTTCATAAATACTGCAGCAAAGTCAGAATCACTCACTATTTTTATTCCCATTTTCGAAACCCCGATCCTTAGACTGCAAAAGACAATCTGACCATATAAAAATAAAACCCCGCTCTTTCTATAAAATGTCTCTGAACAACTGCATAAGACATTACACTAAGTGGAGTATCACTTAAATAAATATAAGTATTAAACCCAAGTTTGAATCCTGTATACTTTCACCTGTAACATACTTGTAAGCCATTTACAAAACGAGAAAAAATACCAATTGTGATTGTAGATTTATGTATTACTTTGATAAAGCTTCATTATTTTGTCAACAAAATTTGTGAAAAGTAATTTCCCATGGGCTTTGAGTTACATTTAGGATCTTCAGCCATGCCTTCACCACCACCTCCTTAAAAAATAAGATATAAAAAAGGACTGTAACTAAGATCTAAATATGAGCTTTAAACCAAATATTCTCTTCCATGAATAAAACGGATACAATTCTGTTATCGGTTATCCAGAAAAACCGCATCTTAACAATGGGTAGTTTTGTGATAAGTGCAACTCAAATGCAGCATGACAATTGAGTACAGACAGTTCTAGCCATTTAAAACAGGCAAAAAAATAAAATAAAAGTCAGGGACCGAACACGAATGCAACATGGCCTTCAGTCGACATATAACATTTCAGCTGGCCTTCAAGAAATGTTTCCCAAGTCAGCTGGACTCCAAGATCGCGTCAGTTTCCCCGCATCATGTCAGTCCCACCAATCAAAGCATGCAGAAGTTCTGGATGGAAAGCCGGCGGTGACCTCAGCTTATGAAAGAGACACCGTGAGAGCTACACAATCTGACCGTGCTCTATGGGGGTAAAAAGGAGGAGGAAAAATAAATAAAATAAATAAAATCGCTGATATAGTAAGTGTAGAATTATCCTGAAATGTGGACGGACACACACACACACACACACACACACACACACACACACACAGGTTCTCTTTTTAAAGCACCCTGCCTCTCCTCTTAAGTACAAGTATATTCTTTCCTTTCCTTTCCTTTCCTGACAGCTCTAACCAGACGTGGCCCCCACCACCGCCATCAGCCCATCGGTGCTCATGGACTTGGGGCGCTCCAGCGGGAAGCCCAGTGCTCTGCTCCACACCAGCTGGGCGAGGACGCCCAGGGCCCGGGACACGCCGAACAGCACGGTGTAGTAGTTCATCTCTGTCATGCCATAGTACTGCGAAGAAGGGAGGAGAGGGAATGAGAGACAGCTAAAGATCCACTGGTCCATTGTGAAGAAACATCCCTGCATCCTGTACCCTTAGAGCAGGGGTGTCAAACTCCAGTCCTGGGGGGCCGGAGCCCTGCACAGTTTTTGGTTTCCCCTCATTTAACACACCTGATTCAACTCCTTGTGCTAATTATCACACAGCTCTTGAGCTGAATCATTTGTGGTGGAACAGGGAAAGAACTAAGCTACACAGGGCTCTGGCCCCCCAGGACTGGAGTTTGATTTATGGTGAAGTGTGTCTTCCTCATCTGGGAACACCCTCTAAGGTCAAATCAACCCAATAAGGACAGGGGGTGTTCCCAGATGGGGAAGACACTCTTCACCATAAATCAAAGTCTACCAAACCATGCTGGATAAGAAACTGATTAATACTATTCTGATATCTGGCAAATTAAAAATTGTCGATAAAATCATTTTCATAAAGGGTTCAGATCCCAAAAGTACCTGTAGCAGGACTCCGCTATGGGCGTCCACATTGGGCCAGGGGTTCTTGGCCTTGCCCTGCTCCAGCAGCACGTTGGGCACGATCTTGTATAGCTGGGCCACCAGCTTGAACATGGGGTCGTTCGGCAGGTGCTTCAGGGCGAACTCACGCTGACAGGTGTACCGGGGGTCCGTCTTCCTCAGGACCGCGTGCCCATAACCTGGGACCACCTGGGTAAATGAGGAAAACCAGACATATTGGTGGATTATGGGAGCTCAAAGAATTTTCATCATCGCTGTTGGCGGGCAGCTTGTTCTTAGGAAGGCTGCACTACATTCAGATCACGGTAACCAAAGCAATGCTGTCAGTATTGTTACTAAAAAGTAGACATTTCTGTCAATGAATACAGTGGGACCTCGGTTGTCGAACACAATGTTTTCCAGAATTGAGTTCGAACACTGATCAGTTCGAGAACTGAACATATTTTTCCCATAAATAATGGGAATCCAAATAATCCATTCCCAGACCTAAAAATTACACATAACATTAATTTAACTCAAAGTAAACAGGCCTATTTTGCAGAAACCATATCTAAAACATCTAAACACAATTAATACAATACAGTATAGCAAAAACACAATACATACAATGAAAAACTTTTTGTACTTTACCTAAACTTGGAGGCTTCTTGGCGAAAATCTTAAACTGAAGCGTCTCCCCTTTGTACATGCGGAGAAACGCGGATCCGCGACTCAATTACACCCATACAGGTTCTTTCAGGTTGGCGTCTCGGTTCGACTATAGAGCATCATTACGAACACTGAGCAGATACCGGCTCGGAGCCGTTCGACAACCGAGGTACCACTGTACTTAGTAATTAGTGATTCAGAACCCGTCCTCGGATGCCCAGGGCACAAGGCAGGGACACCCATCCAGAGAGCACATAAATTATCCTCACCCTCCCAGACTTTAGCGTGTTCCAGATGTAGTCCCTCAGCTTCTCATCGGACACCTCCCCTCCCAACTCCTTCTGCAGGGCCGTCAGCCACACCAGCACCTCCTGCAGAGACAACCTTACATTAGGCAGCGTCCACCTTCCCAGGCAACGGGAGCTTCTTTACATTTACTTCCATTTATTTAGCAGATGGTTTAATCCAATGTAACATACAATTCAGCAGCAGGGTCAGTCAGTTCCTGGGAGCAGTTGGGGTTAAGGGCCTTGCTCAAGGGCCCAATGGTGACATCGCTCTGCCAGCCATGAGATCATGAGCACAGAGTCCTAACCCACAGAGCCGAACGCCGCCCTTTAAATGTTTTTCAGATGCACCAACCTGATTGGCCAGTCCATGCAGAGGCCCAGCCAATCCATTCATGGCTGCACTGAAGGAGAGGTAGGGGTCAGACAAAGCACTGCCCACGAGATGAGATGTATGGGCACTGACGTTGCCACCTTCATGGTCACTGTAGAGGGACAGAAATATTTGTATTCACACCTCACCTCTATGTGGCACTACACATGGAAATATTTCATTTCTTTCCCATTTCTACGTTATACAGAAAAGCAGTACAAACAATTCCTGCAGTCAATGTTTCGCACTACTACTCACTTTAGAATAATTTCAATTTTGCCATGAGCCACTGTAGGCTGGAGTGGTGGCTCCTAGGCTGGGGGGGGGTGGTGGTGGTGATTATACTCCATTGGGCCCTTGAGCAAGGCCCTTAACCTGCAATTGCTTGGCCCTGGGCATGATGTTAATCTACATCCAGCCCTGCAACTTATAGGGAAAAACTTGGGGGCTGGTGACAGGCCTGGCACTCCAGCCACCGGAAAACAACTCACACTGGTCCGTTTTGGAGTAGTGTGCTGAGGTGGTTTGTTATGTGGTGGGTGTGGCAATGTGCTATAATCAGTGCTCTTTTCCTCTCTCATTAGCACTGATACTAGAGCACAGAAAGAGTGCCAAGCAAAACAATATTCCCTCCCGCAGCAAATTCGAGTTACTGATAGTTATTTATTGGCTTGGTATTTTTAGATGTGCTTATACAGTGTGACAAATTAGCATGACAACACAATCCAATTCAAGTGTGGCCTGTCAAATGAGGTCAGCCAAGTGATAGACAAGTGTCCCGTTTCCACAACTCCCCACCTGTGAATGGTAAGGTACAACCGCATCAGCTCCGTGAACTGGGGGTCGCTGTAGCCCAGCATGTTGGTGAAGTTGTGGGACCAGTCCAGATTGGGGTTGATGGCGCCAATGCCGCTGCCCTCGCGGTAGAGATTGCGGTAGATCTTTGCTGCGACGCACGGCAGCTTGGCGATCAGGTCCATGGAGTCCTCGTAAATAAACTGACGGGAGCCCAGAAGAAAGGGCCCACCAACCGAAGGAATAAATATGATCTTCAAATCAGGATCTGACAAATCACGCAGGCCATGTCAAGAGTCTGGTTTCCTCCAACACTCTAAAGATACGGTGTCTCTAAATTGCATCTATATTGCATGACTGTGTGTGTGTGTGTCCTGTAATGGACAAGAATCCCATCCAGGGAACTGCCTAACCATTTGCTGCTACCCTCCACCCCCCACGACTCTGACCAGGATGAGGGTTAGGAAGATGGATGGATGGAATAGCAAGAGCGAGAGGGGCTTTACCTCCCAGTATTTGGTCTTGCTGACACCCTCTGAGTAGGCACGGGCGAAGGTGCTCTCACTGTTCAGAGCAGTGATGGCGGCGCTAAACTGGGACATCGGGTGCAGGTTGGTGGGGAAGTTGTCCAGCATGGTGGCCACGTGGGATGGAAGCGCTGCTCTCTTAGCCCACTCCGTCGACAGCCAGCTCACCTGAACGTAGAGAAATTTGAAATTCATGCAGCTGATCAGCAATGCCTATGAAGAGACTGGTTTCCACTTTAAAAACAAGTCTTCTATGTTTGGGTAACATCAAATCAGACCGTCAAACTTGAACACTTCTCCTCAATCACCTGTTCTTCTGTAGGCACTTGGCCAGTGATCAACAGCCAAAACAGGCCCTCAGGTAGTGGTTCGTGACCTCCGGAAGCTTTGGGCAGTAGCTTTTGGCACTCTGGGATGCTGTAGCCACGGAAACGGATTCCCTGAAAATATTTAATAACATTCAACTGCGCAGAGTATAGTACTGATGTAGCTCTCAGTCCAAAATTGCTAATATTCAACTCATTTCTGTCATCTCTTACTTGTATGTTAACCACGGCTTTATAGACGACTAAAGCTTCTCTGCTTAAATATGAAGGCCCATTGTGGGTAGGTCTACCTCTTTACCATGACTCATCTTAAACTGAAGCGTCTCCCCTTTGTACATGCGGAGAAATGCGGATCCGCGACTCAATTACACCCATACAGGTTCTTTCAGGTTGGCGTCTCGGTTCGACTATAGAGCATCATTACGAACACTGAGCAGATACCGGCTCGGAGCCGTTCGACAACCGAGGTACCACTGTACTTAGTAATTAGTGATTCAGAACCCGTCCTCGGATGCCCTGGGCACAAGGCAGGGACACCCATCCAGAGAGCACATAAATTATCCTCACCCTCCCAGACTTTAGTTTTCGCCTCACCTCATCAGGATCCAGGACAGATGTCTCATACACCAGGCCCTTCATGCCTCTCATCCCTCCGTAGACCTGTAGGGAAATCCGACCAGAATGGACCTTGAGCATTTACACTGCACCCTGTAGCCAACCAACAAGGGGAACCACACAGAGGCTCTGAGGCCGACCTGGACCACAACACAGAATAATCATTTAAAGAGCTGAATATAACTGATATTACACCATGCTCCGATAAGTTATTCATAGTGAATGTTGCATTTTAAACAGTTAAAACTATTAGCAGAGATAAACAGACAATGTTATTGTAACATAAAAGAAACATTAAAAAATGGTTATTTAGCACTGACAAAATAAAAATTTAACTGAGACACTCATTATAAAAATGGACACTAACATAGCGCGAAATGCCAGTATAAGGTGGAATACTGTCACACTGGCATAATTAAAGTCCTCCTTACCATGTCCACAGTGATCTGGCCAATATTGGTTTTTCCATATTGCTGCTTGAAATTCTTGACCCGGCTCTGTTCTTTGGGGATGAGATCGGCCAGGATGTCCTTTAGGTTCTACAAGCACAAATGAATGAGCAAGTGAGTACTCACAGCAGGGTCGCCCATCCTCACAACACTGCATGGTGACTTCATAGTTCAGTCCAGAAAGAGGCTGCAATGGGCATTTAGACACTTACTGTGGATGATGTGAGGTTTCTAGAAGCTACAGAGACACAAGCAGCATTCTGCAAGAGACAAAAATTACAAATAATGTTTTAAATATGGCAGTGTTTCATAACCCTTAAAGCAGGGGTGTCAAACTCCAGTCCTGGGATGGCGGAGCCCTGTGTAGCTTAGCAAGACAGACCAACACCCTCTGGGCATGCTTACATATAAAAACAGTCATGTTTCATTTTTTTTAAGCATCAAGCATGTCCAGTATTTTAGGTGTTCACCTTCCAACTTGTTTCATTGAACACCAAACGCAAAATAGCCCTGTTTTCTAAAATTAAAGTACAAGTATGACCACCTTATTTCTACATGATGTGGTTTACGTAGGTGACTCTGGCAGGTGCCCAAAAACAGCATTAATTATTACATCAACTGGTCCTTCCTTTAATACTGAAGGGTTCATCCCACTTTCCTAGGCTAAAATTGGTAGAAATTCAGTCAGCACAATTCCAGACAAAAAAAAAAAAAAACCTTGAATGCGTTTCATCAGATGTCACAGTTACTGCAAAATCCTTCAGAAATTCGACACCCCTTGACAAAAGATGACCATTCAGTAACTAGCGGACAGACTTCAAATCGCAGAGGGAGCGTTAGCTTACAGGTGCAAACAAAGACCTGACTGTTAACCTTCACAAAGCAGAAGGCTCTAAGAAACCTTTGTAAGCAAGTAACCAGGGAGAATCTGACCAACAGCTAAAATACTGTAATGCTTCTGTGACACTATGGCACACGGGAGTTCCCCCTGCACTGACTAGGACATACACTGTAAATGAAGAATTGATCCAATGATTTCGTTAATCATTTACGGCAAATGCATTGTTCTCTGGACCACGTTCAAGTCATAAACCCTAAGTTTCTCCTAAAAACCGAACCAGCCACCGTCACATATAACCCCTCCTCGGCCACAATGAAATTGGGCATCTTCTAGCCATTCAACCAACCTATCCAGTATGTAAAGTTGACTGGTAGACAGTTACTGTCAGACTAATTTGATCCAATGATAAGTCATCAGATACCTAGTTTAACACCAATCATATCAGTTACGGTCGCACTAAACGATTTACTAAACGGTCTGACGTGTTCAATCAAATACCAGTCCGCTTTGCACTCCGGTGAAATCGGCAAGGAAGGTCCCGATCTCCCGGTTTAACAAGCCTTAAACAAGTCTTTGATCATGTTGCCGGTGCTGTTTTAAAGTCCTAGCAGCCAGGCTGGACGTAGGGAGGCGGACCCCCCAACCAGGGCATTAAGTTACAGCATAAAATTGTACAACTGGCCAACTGAGTAAAATATTAACCAGTACAGAAAACCTCAACCATTTACGCTTAGGCTTTTAAAGTTTGTATTTAGAAGTATGTTTAAACTGTTGTGAAGCTCATAGTTGTGGGCTTGCAGCCAAGAAATTCCGTTATAGCCGAAACAGGCCCCGCTAGCTTGGTTAGCGAGCCTGCCGGCACAGACTTAACCACTGAACCCCCCCACGCAGGAGCCTCATTGCATTACGCGTCTCTTTCTTACCTTTGACTTGAGAAGCCTAGGTGCTACCCTGCCGACAATCAGGAGCGACATGATGAACCTGTAGGCAAATGTCTCCTGCAGCTGGCCGTTCCCGCCTGTCAGTGCGCCGCGGAGCTCAGTGAAGGTGCCCCTCCGCAGTAATGCTACCGGGAAAGGATTCAGGCCCGCACGTACGCTGGATTTGGATTGGATAATGACCCTCTCGACGACGGCGGGCTAATTATGTGATTGGTCAGTAGGACCCCAGTTGATGAAAATGATTGGTCGACGTACCCGGCAATTTTGTGCAAGCTGAACGTTCTAGTCTAGTGGATGTCTGCATTACTGATGACAAATTTTAAATACCATGTTTGGCAAAGCCTCATAAATCAAATCTCTAAAAGGAATGACCATACATTATTTTATACTAGGAAATGTTTGTTTGAGCACAGGTAGGTAGTCATTGACTGTCCGTTGAAATTCACAAAGGCTTCATTAAAAGCTAGGTTATTGTTCCGAGGACTGACTGACCCAAAATTTTTAATCACTTTTCTGCTTTATTTTTACCGATTTAGTGCCTTTAAAGCAGCATTTGTACGGAAGAGGATTAGGGCCACCATGAAAATATTATTTGAATTCTTACCTTTTTCTCAGAATTCTGACTTTAATCTCTTTTTATATTTTCATGGTGGCCCTAATCCTGGCCACTGACTGTGGTTATGACTTCTTTTTGCTCTTTCCATTTTTACTTCATTAGATCTACTTGTAAGGCATTGTACAATTTCTGGACTTTCTTTTAAGTCTTGTTAAATGTTTTGAATGAACAGAAAACAATAGACTTGTAGATGAGAAGTGACTATATTAACTACTGTGATAGGCTAAGAAAAGGAAGCTAATTCACTTTGACTTCCTGATTTAATAAAATTAGCTTATTGGCTGCTGAATGTTTTAAATGCAACAAGTATGAAAACAATGTACATATTTCATTTCCCCCATACACAAGCTATTGTGGCTGCATAAATATTCCAATCTGATTAAAAAAGAAACCCAGAGTCTGGTTGTTGTTGTACAAATATATTTCCATCAAATGTATAAAGTTTTACGGACAAAAAAATGGGTAGAAGTAAACCAGTTCCTCAATCGAAACCAAGTGTCAAAGAACCATTAATCCTAAAAAGAAAAAATGAATGCCTCTTCTCAATGCCTCTTCAATGATTGTAAAATTTGAAATGTATGCAACAATTTCAGAATGATCTTGGAAGTGTTTTAGAAGGTGTTTAAGAAATTTTGCAGTTTAAAACTGACCTTCTACACCTTTTTCACTTTGATTTCTATTCTGACCTTTGTGTTAGAATGTGCATCCTACTGAGAATGGCAAATAATATGAAACAGGGAAACGGAATGTATGCAGCAACTAAATTAATGGATATTTTTTAAGTTCTAAGAGGTAACTTGCTGAAGATGTGTAATATTTTGTGCCCCCCACATATGAGGGGGTGCTGCTCATTGCAAGGTTTGGGAAATGGGTGTTCTTCACTGCTGAGTTAAAGCTCATCATGGGACATAGTGAGGGCGTGGTCACAAAGATCTGGAAATAGAAAGAAAATAAAGATGGGAAGGTAAGACAAATGCAATTTGGTGGCCAAAGACAATTTGATTATTTATAGCTTTACACACACTAGATAAACCCAACCGTATAGCAGGATGTAGGATTTTTAGTGTTGTAAGTCAGTGGAAACTTACCAGTCCGTTTACTACAGAGTTTGTCTTTGACATTGTCAGTCTCATGTGAAAAGAATTCGATAATTTCATCCTCGTGGTGTTCTACAATTGTTTCACACTAGAAGAAACAAAATTGAGCCAAAATAATCAATTTTAAATACATTAACATTATACAGAGTGGGTAAGACCTTCTGGAAAATATTACCATTGATGTTTCATGTACATTTAATAGCACCTTGGGAGAGCAACAATGAGCAATGCATCATGCCAATCTAATTTCTAAAAATTCAGGAAGTACTGTGAAGGCTGGGAGCTTACGGCATATTTAAGGCTTGAGGTAACTCGTGAGTCAAAGCTGGTTTCAGAGAGGTCCATCGTTTTGCCATCCCTTGAATTCGCCCTTGTGTAAGTCTTCCGGTTAGTTGAGGTGTCAATACGTTCCCCGTAGTCCTTCATCTTGTCACACACCTCCTCAAGAAGTTCAAGGAGGTGACCTTCAGATCGGGCAAAGGGAACCTAAGAATGACCAAACATGCATGTTAGGTTGACCAGATTCAAGGTAAATTCCTACAGATAATATGTACAAAGAAGATATCAGCAACTAAAAACCACTGGAAACCCTAACATGCTAAGGCTTTTTTGAAGGAAGTCAGAGAGAGAAGGAAGCTGCCTTGACTAACAGAATTTAGACCAGTTTACCTCTGCCAATCTACTTGCAGTATAAAATATGAAATAGAATATAAAATTTTGCAGGTCAATGCATGTCATCAGCTAACTCAAATACTGCATTCTTCAAAACAACAAGCTTAAGAGCAGTTTTGAGGAACGTTTCATCATTCAACAACACAATGTTTATAGGGTTATCTTAAAAAATTAAAAGAGACCAGGAGACATAAAATGACGTGATCAATATCAAAAAGCAATAAAACTGACATCAAAGTTTTGTCTGGATAACTACAAAAACAGTAGGCTGGAGTCTGTATGGGAGACGGATGGAAGATAAGATAATAAGATGAACTTTTTTTTTTTTTATCCCAGGGGCAAATTGTCTAAGGCAGGACACCAGAGATCCATTAAAATATTCAATATACAGCCAAGCTTTTTTGAGACCTTAATCTTCTTGCCTCTTTGATAGACTGGCTGCCATCAGGATTGATCCTGAAGGACCCAGTCTGGATCTTTTTTTTTGGGTCGACCTGTGAGATTGCCCATTCCAACTCATCCACCAAGGCCCTGCATGCTACACACAGGGTGAAGAACACCATTAAAACATTACTACAGAGAGGTAAATGCAATATTCTTAAAAAATAAATCAGCAGGCACACTCAAATGTATTTATGTAAAACAGAAGTGATTAAATAAAAAATATGTAAACCAATACATTACCTCCACATCTCACATCTTGTCCTTGTCTGGCACTTTGGCCAGCATGCAGAAAAAAACAAAGGAACAAACAGAAAGACACTACGCGCAAATAGGTGCTCATTTTCGCCTGCCACTAGAAAAAAAAAACAATTTGCATAATCATTATTTCTCAATGTTCCAAATAACAGACAAAAGCAGAACAAAGGGGAAAAAAAATCTTGCAGACGTCTGTATTATTTTCAGTTTATTTTTTCAATTAATTGCGATTCGAGTAAATAATTTATAACAAATGCAAATATCACCATGTTAGATAAATATCAATATTTCTCCACATGAAACCGAAATCATGTAAAGATAAGACACAGATGATGAATAGAGCTCGTATAGTATAACAATTAACATTACTGAATGAGGTTAAATACTAACAGAAAGACCTGTAATCTATTGGAAATGGAACAAACAACGATCCAGTTTTTTTATGATGTTCAAATATAAAGTATTTTAAGAAATAATATTTTAGTGTGAAAATATTTACCATTTCAGGTAACGTCCACCACCTTTACGATAAAAGATTCATTCCACACTCTTCCATTGCATTCTTCAGATCGATGACGTAGCCAAGTAGGCGCTTCCAAAATACGTCATCGCCCCTGCCGGTCGTTTCCTATTCCGTCGCATATTTAATATGTTAACATCTTGACAGTAAATTGATAATAGTGTGTTTTAATTTCATCAATTTTAGTTTCATCATCTATCCATCCATATGTCAATTCATCCATCCGTACTCTAACCACTCGCTGAGAGGCCTGTCATATGATTCATACAAACACATTAATTCATGTTTTCAGATTCAGTGTAGTTCTTTGGATTTTTGTGTATTTCCGGTTTACTTCGTCTTACCGTGTTAAACGGCTTTCTTCTGGGTGCTCAGGGTATGCGGTTATGAAATAGGGATGTTATGGAGCTGTATGATCAAAGTCTGGCTAAAGGCGTCTGCCACATGCCGTATAAATGTAAAGACGTTTAGTCTGTTATTCTTTATATCTACATTACATGTCTCATAATATTTTGAAGACACGACGACATTTTCGGCAACTTTCGTATGGAAATAATTTTATATCTACAGTACTCGTACATAAAAATGAACTGCAAATTATTTAATCATATAAATTTGTATGCTTGTAACTAATTGACTTGTAGGCAAATATTTTGAAAGTACAGTTCTGTGACATTTACGGTAACAGATTCATACATTCTGTTCGAAATGCATGCACGCATCGCACTTAAGTTTTACAGATTCTCATTTTACATTAGTAGTTTACACAGTTTGTAGCTGCTAAGGTGTAACCGATTCCTATGCGTAGGTAGATAAATTTACATCTCAAGTAATCGTACTTAAACGTTATGACGATGCCGTAATTTTATAAATCTCAAATCCATATTAAGGGTTGCAAAATGAATACCTATACCTGTCGCCAAAGTTTTACGAATACAATCTTCCTTTTACAATTACGAAACCCAATTTACGAATTTACGAATCACAGTTCATGCATTTTCAGCTTCGGAACGTTGGCGAATCAGTATAGTTACGGGGGGAAATTTCCGTTGCCAATGGTCATTTGGTTTTGACAAAAACATGACTGCATCTTCCGTTTCAATAGGTGGCTGATAGAGGGTCCATCGAAATATTCACCAGGGGTCTGAGATGGACCAGGGTAAGCTTTTCCATGTGCTGTGATGTCAGTGCCTCTGATCTGTACTCAGATTATAGTTCCTTCAGGTGGTACTGTCACTAGACAGGAGGTCTTCCACAGGACTGGGACTCTTTCCAGGCTCATGTTGAGGTTGAAGATGTGTTAAACCACTCCACACAACTGGTCTGCACAAGCCTTGATCACTCTGGAGCTGATGCATCTGGTCCAGCAGCTTTGCTCACCCTGGTCTTCCTCAATTCTCGATCTTCTCATCTGGAGATCCTGGTATCAGGAAGGAGGGGAGGGAGGTGAGGATCGAGGGAATCGCAGGAATATTTTGTTTAGTCAGAGACTCAGAGCAGGGGTCAGAATACAAGAAAGTAGAGATTAATTAAGATCATAGACATAGGGTCATCTTACTGTTAGATTTACAGCTAGAGTTAGGATTAGTGTAGCTATTAGGATTAGATCTTATAAGGCTAGGTCACCATTAGATTTAGAGCTAAGGTTAGGGATAGGGTTGCCAGTAAGGTTGGGGCTGCAATGTGATTCCTGGACACTCACACCAAGTAAACATAATATCATAAAAGACATATCTTTGGTTTTATTTGCAATATAGGGCAGCCCATCAATTTGAAACCTATATATTGCAGAAAAAGTTTTCAATCCAATAATTATGCTTAGTGTTTGAATAATTATTGTGTTAAAAGTAAATAGCTTCCCCAAATGCTTGAGCTGGATACTGTCATTATATGTACATGTATTTCATTAAGAAGTTTCCTCTGGAATAATATAAGTGCTCTGTGTCTGAATTGTACAATGTTTTTTTTTACTCATTTTCATCAAGTGTGTCAGTAATTTAATCTTTTAATATGAGTGTATATAAACATGAGCCCACGAATAACATGGTATTACTTTATTATAATGTATGTACAATAAGTACAAGTAAAGTGTTATTAAATGTTTAATCTGCACAACTACCTACTAATTGATCGGAATTCATAAACTTAATCCACAAATAATACATATCCTTATTAGCATTAGAATCCACGCAGTGCCAGAGGTGAGTGTTGTGTCATCCAGTCTACAACTTACGAACCACCAGAGCACAAACAACGGATTGAGACTCATTTTCCAGGGAAATTTGTATATGGGTGTGCCGCCATTTCCTGCCAGAGTGAGCAGACTGAGATCGGTGGGGGGTGCATTGCGCTGTAGTTATCAATCACTGGTTCCCTACATACAGGCCACCGCATACACCCCAGCAGAGATCTAATGAAGTGTGGGGAGGGGTGGCTCTTCTGTCAGTAACCTCTTTTGGGGGACAAATTGCATATAATAGGTTACACACACCTTAGTATAATTAAATCAGAAATCGTCTCTATAGTGTGTTACTGCGACATGTACGTGATACTCCTACTATATAATATATAATATAATAGTAGTTGTCATCAAATTGGTCTATATTTTAAACACAATTTACAAGTTTAATGAGAATAAAACAAACACTGGAATCTTAGATAAGCATTAATTTTTTTTCATTTTTAATTTTTTTTTAAAAACCTACTGTTTAGAATCTTTTTAAAATTATTCTCATCATAGGTTAAGGGCGGGTGTTTTATTTACACTACAACTGAGTAATACCGGATACCGAGTCCCCTCGCCTGTAAATACCTGTACACAGTGGTTTGCACATGGTAAATTTCAGCTAAATATGCATTTTCCTGTTGTATACGTAATTTGCGGGGGACCAAACGCCAACGACTAACCAACGGGAGGTGGCCGCCCTTCCGATCTCAGTACAGCTCAGCGACACCTCGGCATGATGTGAGAAACAGCGAAACATTTGGTCAAAGTATACTGGACCCCGCTTCAACAAACATCAGATAATAACAGATGCTGTCTGGTGTTGTTTGCCTTTCATTTGCTTTTGGTTTCCGAATGGCGTTTTGATCTTAAATTTTTGTCCGGCTGGCTTATAGAGAACTTGTGCAATCCTGACCGACAACACTGCAAAGTTTCAGGTGAGTTAAAACAAAATAAAAATAACCATCATTATATTATATTAAAATAATAATGCGACGAGTAAATCAGTCCGGCTGGTCAGCACACTGGGATCGAGTTGAATATGATTAGGATTAAATAGTTTCAAACTATGTTGTTTATTCGACGATAATGTGGTGAGAAACTTACCATGTGAATATACCCTCACCCAATTCCTGTCTAACTGGTCAGAACTTCAGATCGGTGGTTGTGCTTGTTTGGGCATGACGTCCGTAAAGCAATAGGACTGTTAAGGTCTTGTTTCTGCAATGTGTTTCGCTGGTTATCTTTTAAAATCCTGACACTGTTCATAAAGTCAAAACAAAATCGAACTCTAACCTGAGCAGATCAACTTGCAGCAGAACTTGTTCTGACAGTAGAGCTGCTGCAGGTGCAATTTGTGTTAAACACAGTCTTTTTGTAAAGTTTAGAGCATATTGTGGCAGATAATAATGTTCCGAGGGTGACTGACACATGTACTGTACTTTCCTTTGGTGTGCCCTCTCGCCTCTGTCTCCTCCACCTTGTTCTCCATCACAGGGAATCCGTTTCTGCAGTCTACAACAAGAAACAACCATAGAGCCTGAAAAAGAGCAGAGATGGCAGAGAGCAAGTCAAGCGGTGCGGGGAGTGGTGGAGCGGGACTTATCGCGAAGCGGTTTCAGAAGCAATTTAGCCGGGCACAAGAGAAGGTAAAGCACAGGTTCAGCTATTTAATGTTCATTGGCAGAAACATGTATTTGCGTCTGTCCAACTTTAGGAATCCAAAAACATTGGTAATACTTTGTAGTGATGCAATATGTTTGGATTATATGTTGTTTTGCTTTCTGATACTGGAATGTGTGTGACCTTGTAGGACGTGATATCGTACTCAAGGCAGAAGTATATAGTTCCTGTCTCAGGCTTACTGGATTGTCCTGATAATGGCGGTTACATAGTTTATTTTGGAAATTGTTATATTCAGCGTTTCATCAGTACGCTCAGATGAGTGTCTGTGGTATTTTGTGCACAGTTTTAAAGTTGAAAAGTGTTTTTACATCCAGACCGGGTCTAAACTTCAAATCTGGGTTTAGCAGACCATCTCTCTGGGAATTACCAAAGATTAGGCCTGAGTTACTCATGGTTCTTTATATTGTTTTTTTCTGAGACTTTTGAAGAGAACAGTGTAGTAGATAGTTTTATATTGGGGGGAGGAACCATCTTAATGATTTAAAATAGAAATATCTGTTTGTTGGGAGATGAATGAAGCCAAATTAAATATTAGGGCAGCGGTGGCCAATCTTATCCACAAAGGGCCGGTGTGTATGCAGGTTTTTGGGGTAACCTTTAGGTCAGCTGTTCAAACCCAGGTGTGAGGACTCCTCAGCCAATCAGTCCTCTAATTAGTAATCTAATTAGGGAGCTGCAGTGAAAACCCGCACACACAGCGGCCCTTTGCGGATAAGATTGGCCACCCCTGTATTAGGGGGTGCCCCCCTCGGTTTCCACCCCCTTGTTGTAGAATTTTAATCCCATGGATGCAAACGCTCTCAGCAGATGCATATATCTGAAGAGCAAAACTCTCTATGCTCATTCGGGGTTTCTTAGCATCTGAATATTTTGACATCCATGATGGATTTTCTGCCATTGATGCTTTAAGTCCCTAGTAAATCCCAAGCTAAAGAGTAGCAGTATTTACATCCTTGTTCTGTCGCTGGCAGATACGGACACAAAAGCACAATGGTTTGCAACGGCTGCGCAGAGGCTTGTTACTTCCTGCCTTCTTTTCACTTCCTCTCACATGTCTTGCAGAGCCATTTACTGCTTAGTTGTTGCCTGTGCCTTTGTGCTGATCGGAGCATAGAAACAGGTGGATAGACCAATACATAAGTCTGTATTTCCCAGATCCCACAGAACAAATCAAACTGATATTGGACTTGAAAGTCTTTGGGATGTCCTGCAGTTCGCTCTTCCAAAAGATCTTCCATATTAATGATCTTATATTGTTGAGGTGACATAACCTCTTAGATTAGTTCCAACTTTTACATTAGATTTGTTGCTTCATTTCAGGTCTTGCAGAAGTTGGGTAAGACCATGGAGACCAAGGATGAGCAGTTTGAGCAGTGTTCTCACAATCTGAATAAACAACAGGTACCATTGCACCATTGCAAAACCACCTTTCTAGTGTAATTAACTGGTGACACATATCATGACGATCTTGAATGTGTACATACGGTATTAGCTGCTTCTGACTCCTATAACTCATTTGATGAGGCATGTTTGTCTGCAGAGAGGGCGATGAGTAGCTCGTTGAATGAGAATACCAGATTTCAGTCAGATACAGGAAGTTCCTTTATCTTGAACTGTATTTTGTTTTTAACCACAGCACTTTCAGCAACCAATGTTTTTGTTACTTAAGTTAAACTGATGAACAACCAGAAAAAAAAACCTAAAAAATCTGGTTTGCTAAAAAAAATAAGAATCGCAGGTCAAACATTTAATTTTGGTGCTGACCCACAATAAAATGGCATAAATATTCTTAAAGATTTATTTCTGTGTATTTGCAGAGTGACGGGAACAGGCTATTCAAAGACATTAAGGCATATTACAATGCTGTCAAAGGTACTTTTTAAATATTACTTTGTGTTTGGTGAGCCCTTATTACAAAAAAATTGCTGCTTTTGGTTAAGTTTGATTTAGGTATAGAAATGTAAAAAGCTAATGTAGTGTGGAAGCCGTTAAGGTGGAGGTCTGCTATCATCTTGTATAAGATCTGCAGTCAGGGTCAGATGGGTTTCCTCACACCAGACATCTGTTGCCACGGTAACACAAGAAACTGAAACCCAGCCTTGTAACTTTGTTGTATCTTCTGTTGTCTCACAGCACATGTATCAGTACAGTTTTTACTATGTACTTGTCTACAATTTTTGTAAGAATTTTATTTATTTCTTTCTGCTTGCCACTTCCAAAGTGTTTCCCTTTGGGGGGGGGCAGGGGGTTAGAATTTCAGAGTTTCCCTAAATAATTTTTCTGTTCTTCTTTCATGGGGTTAAATGAGGCAAATGAAGAAGTGTGTTTCTCCTTTGCACCAGAAAGCTTTCAGTTTTGCCCCCTGCTACTCCTGTAACTGTGGACAGCCCCACAGATGGTAAAGTGAGGTGTTGGGCAATAAAAAATGTTATCAACAAACCAATCAGTTGAACCATGTTGTAAATGGAACAAAGGAAACTACTTCTATCACCTTTCAGTGAACATAGCAATATTTGTATGCAGCAGTAGATGGGCAGGCAAGATGGGCAGGTTGGCAGGTTGGCATCCTGTGAAGGGTTGCCCTGGCTGACAACTTCCAATCCCTCCCCCACCCCGGTCAACAACTTTACCCGCCACTGACTGCCCCACAGATACCAGGTTTTCACGATAGCTTGGGGGTGGGGATTTCACTCAGAGTGTCAAATATGTACACCACCAGAAAGAGCCCCCCCCCCCTCTCAAATAATGTGAGTCCCCAGCTTGCGAAATATCAGTTCTCATTATTTTGTTTTCCCCAGTTTCTTAATCGTCGTAACGGTTATCATTTCTGCTCATTGCCATTGTCATTCCCTCCCGGATGTCTTTCTGTACAGCCCCTTTTTGTGCACTGTGGGTAATGGATATGAGATTTTGGCGTCAGTCAGCAGGCCATTTTGACTCAGTTGCTGGCCCTGGGACGAGTACCTTTATGACCACAACTACACCGCACCACTTTTTCGATTTAGATTATGTCCAAGATCTTTACTTCTAACACATTAATACCTTGCCTGGCGTGCTTAAGTATCACATCAATATGGCCCCAGTTTGCCCAGTTCAGAGAGTGCCTCAGCAAAAGTCAAAACGGAGGTGTTCTAGTTACATGACCTACCTGTCTGCCCTCTCCTGTACCACAGCAATGCATGAGACCTCCAAACGCCTATCCCAGACGCTGAAGGATGTCTATGAACCTGACTGGAATGGAGCAGAAGGTCTAGCCACAATCATAGATGTAAGTTTGCAGCATACTGCCAATCAGATGGACATGCTGGTAGCATGTGATAGTCAAGAGGAAGTAGATGGTTTTCGCCAAACACAGCTCATGAAATTTTATATATAAATATTATGTGAATGTGCCTGTGATAACAGAATGAAGACCTTCTGTGGAATGACTATGAAGAGAAGCTAGCAGATCAAACATTGCGCACCATGGAAAGCTACACTAGCCAATTTCCAGAAGTGAAGGTAGGACTTATTTCTACCACACCCTCATGTTTCTTCTGACACCACAATAACAGGAACCATCTACACTTCAGGTAGCTGGTGCTCTGAAAAAGTGCTGCGTCGTTCAGCTATGTTCTCAGTATAACGGGCGGGGGTGGGGGGGGGGGTAATGGCGTTAATGTTAAAAAAATGGGCCCATTTACTCGTGCCTATGTTTTGTTTTTTTCTGTTTCCCTTGTGCTCAAACTGAAATGCCTGTCTTAGTTCCTTGCCATAGTTCAGTTAAACCCATATTAACTCTTGAACCCAAATAAAGTGCCCAGTCCTCCCTGCTGTCCCCATATCAGATAAAAAACCAGTCAGAAGTCTTGACACGCCTGCTTATAATGCGCTTGTCTCGATTTTAGCTTCGTAAATCACCTTTAACTATAACGGCTTGACAAAATGAAGTAATGCTCATCGAAATAGTTGATATGTAAGAGACATGTTGAACATCCTAAGATTTTCTTAAACTGTACACTATTCAATAGAGCCCCCCTTTGCTTTGATGACAGCATTGCAGACTCTTGGCATTCTTTCAACCAGCTTCCAGATGTAGCCACAAGTTCTGGCCATAAGTTGGCTACCTTGCTCTTACTCTTTGATCCAACTCATCCCAAACCAGCTGTATTGGGTTATTGGTTAGAGGTCCGGGGGGGGGGGGGGGGCTCATCTGTCGCAGCACTCTTTGCTTGTTCACAAAATAATACCTACTATATAACCTCATGGTCTGCTTAGGGTCATTATCTTCAGTAGGTGTGTCCAGATTGTAGTTTCATTTGCCATCCATTTGGTATTTTTTCACAAAGCTGCTCAGATTGGTCACTCTGTTTTGCTTCTCCTACAGGAGAGAGTGTCTAAACGTGGCAGGAAGCTGGTCGACTATGATTCTGCTCGTCACCACCTGGAGGCGCTGCAAAGCACCAAAAAGAAAGATGAGGCGAAAATCACCAAGGTCAGTTCTGATAGCACACGGGTGCCTCAAAAGCTCTGCATTGAGTTTTACTGAAATATCTCAGTTTCTCTAAACTTCGAAGGCTTTGGCATTACCTTTATGACAATTTTGTACTGGGTACTTTCAAGTATATCCATCCACTAGTATATCCTTCTATCATTCCCTTTGGTATTGGCTGAGAAATGTAGTTTCCCGTCTACCTTGGTATCTGCTGCTTTTTGGTGAAACCAGCAGCTGCAGAATTCCTGCAAACATTAGGTAGAGGGACCACAATCACTCCTACTCTGGGATCACAGGACATGCAGTTTGAAGTAGGAAATCGATTACCTAACCTATAAAGAGGACATAAAGATCCAGTGGCTCAGAGTGAATATATGAAGTAGGGTTTTTTTTTGTCTTGTTAGGCAGAGGAAGAATTCAACAAAGCACAGAGTGTCTTTGAGGACATCAACAAAGAGCTGAGGGAAGAATTACCAGTTATCTATCAAAGGTGAGCCTGTCAGGGGACAATAACTGTGATTTATAGTTCTGGACAGATTCTTTGAATGCACCAATGAGTTCCATTAAGTGTGATTCAGATGATTAACTACCAGAAGAAACACTTGACAGAGTGGCATGCTTACTTGTGGCGCATGAATGTTTATATCATTCTTTTTTTTTTTTTTTTTTTAAATAAATCCCATTCTATCCATACTCATTTTTATTTAATTTGCTGTAATCACACTGGGCTAAATGTAAAGAGTCTGGCTTAAAGGCCAGGTAATATACAATTGAAATCTTATGCTACTTTCAAATATTCAACTGGGTATTTTGAAGTAGAATGACCCTGATGTACTCCCTCCCCAGGACAGGAATCGGCACCTCTGCTCTAGCAAATGATTGTTACAACACATCTATTTGTAAAAATGTATTTCATTTACCAGGAACATGTAAAAGAAGGAGTTATTAGCAGTAGTCAAGTGGTTTCTTAATGCTTACACTTTCAAATGCTAGAAGAAATGAATTATACTGCTCTTTTAGAGTGTTGCTTCGCCACACCGGCACTATAAATAATAATAATGCTGATATCCTGGCTTCTCCTCAGCCGAATTGGTTGCTATGTGACGGTCTTCCAGAACATCTCCAATTTGCGGGATGTCTTCTACAAAGAGATGAGCAAGGTAATTTTTGCCTGGATTTTTACATTAATGTATGTTTGAAAGTTGGGTGGACCAACATTTCACATATAAAAATATAAAGGTGATCATATGTATTTCTTTAAGTACATGAATATGACTTAACAAGGTCCCCAATTTACTGGTTGGGAGATCATAATGACGAGGTATAAAATTACTTCAAATATTACCAATATTTAAAAATAATTGCATGCAGTCTTCACTGCTATTACACTGTTGGTTCCATATTAGCTATTTCTTGTACAGTTGGTGTTCTTTTGTGATGAAATATAACCTTCCTGGTTGAAAATATCAAATTCAGCTCAACAATGAACTTTACAATGTGATGAAGAAACTGGAGACTCAACATTCAGACAAGACGTTTATCATCAAAGGGCTGCACAGGTGGGTAAATTTCACATGGGCAGCACAGCATGCTTCACACTGTATAATGAATATTCATGAGCCAGTAAATTGTGTTACTGTTGGCAGGTAGGTCTTTCTAAGTGTATGGTGGGGGGTGGGAAGCAATGGTGCAGAAGTGGTTAGCATCAGCTCACTCCGTGAACTGGGGGCCGCTGTAGCCCAGCATGTTGGTGAAGTTGTGGGACCAGTCCAGATTGGGGTTGATGGCGCCAATGCC